ATGTAAAACAGCGAATCGATAATAAAAAATCTGCGTCGACAAATTTACATAATCGACGTCATCGATTATTTCAACTAATCGGTGCAGCCCTAATTAAATATAAAGATGTTTTATTTAACTTGTTAAATTTGAAGGAGATGCATGACACAGGCACTTAAAGGTCCTGTCCTGTATCTGTTTTTGTGTTGCGGTGTGTAACACTGTTTTCCCCTCCCAGGTTTGTCGGCCACTCCGACTGGGTCCGCGCCAACAAGAAGGGCAAGTTCAGCTGGGATTTTCTGAAACACAAAGAGAGCACAATAGAAGAAGTAGACATGAGCCGCACCATCATCAACCATAGAGGGCTGTCTAATCTGGGTAATGTTTCATTACTGCCTTTTATTTCCTTCAAAGCCAGTTTTTACTGGGAATCAACTTTTTTCATTTACACTGATTAATCCTGTCATTCATTTTTAATGTTCAGAATTTCATCAAATTATAGTTCTGTCTATTATTATTATCATTATTATTATTATTATTATTTATTTATTTGCTTTCAGCGACACAGCCCACTTTGCGAACATTGAAACTACAGGGGTGTCCTGAGGTGGACGACTGGTTTTTGGCTCGACTCCACTTCTTCCAGGACTCTCTGGAGGAGCTGGACATCTCTGAATGTCCACGCGTCACCGCAGGAGGCCTGCCTTCGCTCAAGAATCTGAAGTAATGAGCCTAAACTCACGGCGACCTAATTAATCATAAAAATAATCAAGTTGCTCATGTTGTTTTTTTTTTGTGCGCGTTCTGAAGGAGACTGAAGCGTCTGAACGTGTCGTCCCTCCCGAGACTATCGAATCCTGCGTTGATGGTCATCCTGCTGGAGGAGATGTTGCCGCAGTGTCAGATCACAGCTGATAATTACAACTTCAGCCTGGGGCAAGTGGAAGGAGAGTGCGCAGAGGTGGAGCTCAGACAGAGGTCGTCCATAGAGGGGGGGACACGAGTCGGTCCAGAGCCATGAGGAGTCATCTGAGGGAACTCTGCTTTCACTTAATGTGTTACATCACAACTGTTTGTTTGTGTGAATGGATCCAAATATAAGTGAACATGGGCAATAAAATGTTAAATAACTGCAGACAAAGAAGAAAAACACGCATCAAACATGGTCTACTCTGGATATAATTGTTTAACGATGAGATGATCATCATGTAAATCTAAATATTTAAAATCTTGTTTTGTTTCAAATTGTGTTTATGGATTTGGTTGTAAATTTGAATAATAAAACATTTACTAATCAAACAAACTTAGACTCATATAGTCATGTATTGTACACATGGACAGAGTCAATACAAAGTGTCACATGATAGTGTGGCTGTATGTATTCCTAATCTCTTGCAATGGGAGATTATGAGAGAAAAGTAAAGCCAATAATCCAGTGTGTGCCTCGTTCCTGCAGCAGATACAGGCCAGACTGAGCTGCTGAAGACACCAAGCAAGCTTGAAGCCACAGAGGCTACAGCTGAAGAAAATATGTTTCTTCTGTATGAATCCTGATGCATCTCAGTAACCCAGGTAAAAAATCAAAAAGAAAAAAAAATTGCATAGGTCCTCTGGATGGGTTCTTCTCTAATGAAACGTTTCGTCTCTCCTCCAAGAGACTTCTTCAGTCAGAGTTTCAGGCAAAATTCAGGCTTTTGAGCCCTGCCTCCATGTGACTGTCTTCTGTATGTAGTTATTTTAATCTGAATAGATGACTCGTGTTAAATTGTATTTACATTTTTATTATTATTTATAGTCACTTCAGTTGTGGTGGTTTTTTTTTAATTCGCAATGGGTTATTAATATAAATTTTGTAATTCTAATATAGTTTTAAATTTTTTTTATTTTCTTATGTTTCGTAAGCACGATGACTTGATCTTCAGTAGGAACTAATCATGAGCTGGGTCACGATGAACACGGACTGTATTTTTGTCGGACCAAAATAAGACGGAACGTCTGGTGGTCGCTTACAATCATAACATCAAAACACAGGGATTAAAATCGGCTGTCATCGAAACTTTTGTGTTGTTTGGACCTCAGCAGACAGATAAATGTCTGACGCATCAGGTAGGAGAAGCTCCTGACATGAGAAACTCAGTTTTTACTGGTGAGGACTTGATGTAGCTTTGGAAAGAGCAGCTTTCGTTTCGAGCCAGTCCAGTTCCGTGAACGGCTAGAGTCAGAGCCGGCTAGCTTTACCGCGGTCCCGAACCCGCTGGTACGGGTTGCATGTATTGTTCTTTGTTTATTTAACTGTGAAGCACAACAGCTTTGAGTCCAAGACAAGTATCGTGTTGTAACTCCCGCTGATTACATCTAAATATTTTTTTTTTATTTTTGTTGTTAAGTTGCCAATGTATCGAAATTACACAGGTATAGCTAATCTAATCATATTAGTTGATGATAGGACAGTGACATTCATCTCATAATGGACTTCAGCCGAACACCCGTGTGTGTGTGTGTGTGTGTGTGTGTGTGTGTGTGTGTGT